GCCTGGGAAAGCAGGAGAAGATGGCCCAAGTCCTTGGGCCCCTGCACCCATGTGGGAGACCAGGAAGAAGCTCCTTGCTCCTGGCTTCGGATCGGCACAGCTCCGGCCATTGTGGCCATCTGGGGAGTGAACCAGCGGATTCTCTCTCTCTACCTCTCTTTGTAGCTCTGTCTTTCAAATAAATAAAATAAATTTAAAAAAAAAAGAGAGAAAATAAAAAGAAAGAAAAGGAGACATTTCCAACAACTCTGGCTTCTGCTGGCTTTCCCTGAAGGATGGTGCTGCTGCCCTGTGTGCCTGCCTGCTTCCATCCAGCAGTGTGCTGGGTCAGCCCCACCCTCCACTTCCTCTGCAGGGTGCACCACCGTCCTGCGCTTCCACTGTTGCTGTAGCTTTTACATTCTCTTTCCCTCTTCTTTTAAAGACCAGCCTCTAGGCACTGCCAAGCACTGGCTCCCTCCTGCAGGCCTCCATGCTGACACTGGGTGTGGGGGTGTCACCACAGAGCCCCCACACTACACAGCTCGCAGCATGGAAAGTAGCCCCCTCCAAGTACCACAGCATTCCACTGCCCTGGCCTCAAGGCTGCAGGTTTTCAAAGCTTCTGGGCATCTCAGGTCACATGCCTTCTTACTCACAGGACTCTGGAACAGCTGCTTCTGTCGCCCATTTCTGTGCATCTGTATACCTGTTGTTTTGGAAGAGGATTTGCTGATCTTACCTGGTCATAACTGAAAGAGTTACTCTATTATTTTTATTCCAGGGTACTTCAAAAGATCAAAATGTACAGAAAATATAGTGAACAACCATGCACCCAAGACTCGGATTAAGAAACGAGACCTTACAGATACGTCTGAAGCTCCTCCCTGATCCTAGTCCCTTCCTTCCCTCTCTGGAGGGGAAGCATCATCCCAAATGTAGTACTTACCTACCTTATGATGCATGCTTTTATTGTCTTATATACATGTTCTGAAACTATTACTGTTTTGTATTTTAACTTTATTTAAATGATACCTGACTGTAAATATTCTTTTGTGATTTATGGTTTGGGGATTCGCTTATGTACTTTAACCCATTCACAGTTAATTGCTACATAAATATATGGCAATTAACCCACTGTCTGGGCTGGACATGTGGGTGGTTCCCAATAACCTGTTGTTACAATGTGACAGTGAATTCTCTTGTATACCTCTCATGGCCTGTACAGGAGTGAGAAGACCAGAGAGAACTGGCTGCCACACAGGTGAAGGCAGAATGCGGAAGCCATTCTCTGAGCTGAGCAAGCAGCAACTGTCCTCTGCAGCAGGACTCTCAGCCTCCCACAGAACTGGGAGTTAGAGTCACACAGGTCTGAGAAAGAACGTTTTCTACAACCCCCCACCTGAGGCAGCTTGGCCTACGTCACACAAATCAGTGTCAGATCTGGGACTGGAAACTAGGTTTTCTACCACTTTTTTTTTTTTTTTTAAGATTTATTTATTCATTTGAGAGGCGGAGTTAGAGAAGAGAGAGAGATCCTTCATCCACTGGTTCGCTCCTGAAATGGCCCAATGACTGGCGCTGCACCAGGATGAAGCCAGAAGCCAGGAGCCTCCTTGGGGTCTCCCACATTGGGGCAGGGGCCCAAGGACTTGGGCCAGCTTTGGATGCTTTCCCAGGTGCACCGGTAGAAAGCTGGACCAGAGGGGGGGGCAGCCGGGACTTGAACCAGCTGAGTTAATGGCTTTAACCTGCTGAGCCAGAGCGCCAGCCTCTCTACTTTATTTCTTCATTTCTCAAAACAAGATTGCTGGGCCAGCAACTTTAGCATCATCTGGAAACTTACTAAAACTATAGAAAGTCTGGCCATACTGCAGGATATCTGGCAGAATCTGCATTTTGACCAATTCCCAGGTGATCTGTACGCACATGAAGGTTTGCAAAGTACTCCAGATGATATATTGGGGCAAATTACTGGATCAGAGTACGAGGTCTTTATACAACATGGTGCCACATTTCTCTCCAAACAGCTGTACCTATCTACAGACCATGCCACTCTACTTTTCTACGCATCTAATGACAACACAGAGCTTCTGCCTAGGCTCTCATGTGCACCCCATTCTGCTTGCCTTCCAAAGTTTCCATTCTCATAAACAGATCCTCAAACTCTACCCTGGAGTTTCCTTGTTTGTGTTTGAACACACTAACCTAGGATGAAAAAGTAACACAGTCAACTAAGCTTGGGGAATACTAGGTCAATCAATAGATTCTTAATACTAAGACCTCTCAGCCGGCGCCGTGGCTCAATAGGCTAATCCTCCGCCTTGCGGCGCCGGCACACCGGGTTCTAGTCCCGGTTGGGGCGCCGGATTCTGTCCCGGTTGCCCCTCTTCCAGGCCAGCTCTCTGCTATGGCCAGGGAGTGCAGTGGAGGATGGCCCAGGTGCTTGGGCCCTGCACCCCATGGGAGACCAGGAAAAGCACCTGGCTCCTGGCTCCTGCCAGGATCAGCGCGGTGCGCCGGCTGCACGCGGCGGCCATTGGAGGGTGAACCAACGGCAAAGGAAGACCTTTCTCTCTCTGTCTCTCTCTTAATTGTCCACTCTGCCTGTCAAAAAAAAAAAAAAAAAAAATCCTAAGACCTCTGAGAGCACTCAGCCTGTTAGTGAGCACCGAGAGCCTTGGAAAGTGGAACACATTCCAAACCTATTGTACCATCCACCTTTTGCCCTCTTGTGGGTCATCTATGAACCGATCTGAATGAACAGTTGCTTCAAGGAAAACAGTTGGGAAACTGTACATTAATTGACAGGGACTTACCTCCACGTCCAAACAAAAATAACTAAAAAAAAACCAAAAAACCACAATTTATTTTTTAAGATTTCAAGCCCTTATCCCAACATCTTTTCATATATTTAGTAAGGAGATTCTCATTCTACTTACTTCTCTGGTCTTGTGTTTGTAAAATAAAATCACTGGGAAAGAGAAATACTTTTTCTCAGTTGAATTTATCTCTGTCCATTTCTTTCATGTTTTCAGTAAAGATATCAGCATGAAATGAAGATAAGCTATATTATACTCAAAATTTCAAACAGTTGTCTATGACAACTGCAGAGATCAAACTGATACCACTCTGAGTCACAAGCAAAAAAAAAAAGCAAACCAAAATGAAACAAAAAAAAATACCAACACCAAACAAAAAAATTCTACTGTCCTGAATCCAAGATGCTCAGCTAAATAAAACTGTCCCTTCATTTCTGTGTGGTTTCCTCAAAAGAATTAAGTTATAAAACTCCAATTATCTCTGGGTAGCAAAAAAATATTTTTTTTCTATTTTAATCTTTGTGCTTCTCTTTAGTTTCTGTTTTTCTAAAATGGGCACACTTTCATAATTAGAAAAAAATATATTTCAGCTTTAAAAGGCTTAGTTTGGGGTCCAGTGCTGTGGTGCAGAGGGTTAGGCTGCTGCCTACAAGCCAGCATCCTATATGGGTGCCAGTTCGTGTCCCAGCTTTTCCACTTCTGATCCAGCTCCCTGCTAATGACCCAGGAAAGGCACAGGAATATGGCCCAACTGCTTGGGTGCCTGCTACCCACATGGGAGACATGGAAGAAGTTCCAGAATCCTGGCTTCAGTCAGGCTGACCCTGGCTATCGAGGCCATCTAAGGGGTGAACCAGCAGATAGGAGATCTCTCTGTCTCTCTGTCTATATATAACTCTGACTTTCAAATGAAATAAACCTCTTTTTTTAAAGGCTTAATTTGAAAGAAAGAAAACTAGTCACAGAACAATACAATTTAAATCCATCTGTACTATTCCTATCAAGATATACACAAAAGTATCAATGACTTCAATTAAGGTAATCAAGTCTTTCATGAAACTGTCTAAAAATAGATTATATAAAAATTAGCTATATGATTAGAAGTTAAGTTTTTTAAATAAATCACCAAACTCTCCAATCTTTATGAATGCAACACTAAAAGTGATGTAGGCTGGAACCTAAGGAGCTAGAAGAACACTGGCAAGCTCAGGCCTACAATCCGTCTGCTGGCTGTGCCTGCCTCAGTTTCCTGGCCTGCAAGGTGGGAAGGGCATTGACCCACTGAGTAGGTGAGTACAAGTACTAGGAACAAGGCTGGTGCCGCGGCTCACTAGGCTAATCCTCCGCCTAGCGGCGCCGGCACACCGAGTTCTAGTCCCGGTCGGGGCGCCGGATTCTGTCCCGGTTGCCCCTCTTCCAGGCCAGCCCTCTGCTGTGGCCCGGGAGTGCAGTGGAGGATGGCCCAGGTGCTTGGGCCCTGCACCCCATGGGAGACCAGGAAAAGCACCTGGCTCCTGGCTCCTGCCATCGGATCAGCGCGGTGCGCCCGCCGCAGCGCGCCGACCGCGGCGGCCATTGGAGGGTGAACCAACGGCAAAGGAAAACCTTTCTCTCTGTCTCTCTCTCTCACTGTCCACTCTGCCTGTCAAAAAAAAAAAAAATAAAAATAAAAAATAAAAAAAACAAGTACTAGGAACATGCTTAAAGGCTCATAGTAATGGGCCTATCAAACATCCAGTAAGTGCTCAATAAATTACAACAATTGTTATTAAGTTACATCAGAAATATCCTAAATGCTTACATAAAAATGAAGAAATTACTGTTATTACTGCAATTATACTAATCACATTTATCTTGAGGAGATAAAGAGAATCTTTCCAGGACAGGCAATTCTTGCAAATCCGTGATGATCTGAGTGAAAGATTACAATCAGATACATTATTTTTCAAGGTTATCAAGAAAAATGTAGGAATGAAAAAAGAATTAAGGATTAATTAATTATAGCTAGTTATTTAATAAAGTACAAGTTTAACAGACTGTTATGATCAATATTTAAGAAAAGAAAAAAAGACACACACCTTAACAAACAAATGGCAATACTCAAATTTAATCCCAAAATTATACTGAAAACCAAATGGCCTCATCAGGGATGGCACACCTAAGAGAAGGGCAAAGTCTTGGGCCCCAGTCTTTGTTTACCTGGGTGAGTCATGGTGACTGGCTCCTCTTTGGATTTATTGTTGTAGATGACCACGGCCACTGCATTGTGGAAAGCAGCCCGGGAGATTTTCTCTTTAAAGGTGCAGTTTCCCCTTTGCAGCAAGGCGATCCACTGCTTGATATTAGGAGGGACGAAGAATCGTGTTTGAGGATCACAGCCCAGATGATCAGCAACTAAACAAAAGGGGAAAAAAGCATGTTAAGGGGACCATCACTGTGGTGTTGTAGGCAAAGCCATCACTTGCAGTGCTGGCATCCAATATGGTGCTGGTTTGAGTACCAGCTGCTCCACTTCTGATCCAGCTCCCTGCTCACACACCTGGGAAAGCAGCAAAAGATAGCCCAAGTACTTAGGCCCCTCCACCCATGTGGGAGACCTGGATGAAGCTCCTGGCTCCTGGCTCTGTCCTTGCCCAGGCCCAGCCATTGTGGCTGACTGGGTAGTGAAACAGGGGATGGAAGATCTCTCTGTCTCTCTCAACTCTGCCTTTCAATAAATAACTAAATCTTAAAAAAAATAAACAATTACTCCAAGCCTCCATCACTATCTCTACACAACCCATTAAAGAAAAAGCTCAGTTAAAGACAAATGAACTCAATCACATGTTTACCGAAGGGCTGGACCTCTCCTCCAGTGCTACAGGGTCAAAGCTGCCAGCAGAGCTGTGAACTCCACTGAAAAGGACAACATAGTCAATCTGCATGGGGAGGAGAGTGGTTCCCTTACAACGTTACTCTCTGTGCAAATTAAAACAACTGGAATGGACTGACACAGATAAAATGCATATATCCAGTGTTGGCTGGTGAAGAGGAGAAAGAAAAGGTGAACACAAAAGAGAAGCCCTTGCCCTCTTGTTTGGAGTCTCCCCACACCCTACGCCCACCACCCGCCTGAGAAAACAGGAGGCTATAGGGTAAATCAGGGAGCCAAAGTAACTGATGGTTCAGTTACCAAGTGCTCCTGTCAAAATTTAAGCATGTTTGAACACATTTCTTAATACATGTCACGGGAAATTAGAAAGTTTTAGAAGTTAAAATGAGATGAAATTAAAGAGTAAATATATCATTCCTCTTATTTACATTTATTGACAAAACTTTCTCTACAACTCTGTATTAAGATACATGTACTATAATCACCTTGTAAAAATTATTTTATATTTAGTTGTTGTCACTTTATTTGAAAGGCAGAGAGACAGATCTTCCAGTGGTTGTTAACTCCCCAAATGTCCACAACATCCAAGGCTGGGCCAGGTCAAAATCAGAAGCCAGAAACCCAAGTACCTGAACCATAACCTGCTGCCTTCCAAGGTATCCATTAGCAGGAAGCTGGATGGGAAGGAGAGGAGCCAGGATTCAAACCAGGAACTTCAATGAGTTGTAGGCATCCCAAGCAGCCATCTAACTTCTGAGCCAAACGTCTGCTCCTAACCACCTGTCTTAACAAGATACACGAAGACACTAGAACCACCCCTCGGTCTACAAGTTACATGGCCATGGTGCTAGATTTGGGGGAAAAGTTTGTCTCAAATACCTCTAGGCACATTTCAGTCTGTCAGACCAAGACAACATACAGCTGACCAAGCTCCTGCATCCTCTGCAAATCTTAAGAGAGGCATCAGCTGCTTTTCCTATTCCCCACCCTTTCGTTTAGAACAGGCAAAGATGAAACTGAAGGGCAGTCCAGAAAGGAAAGGAGAGGAAGGAGGAAAAGTAAGTCTGCAGACTGTGGAGTGGTAAAGGCTATGGCCCCCGTGTCTCCTGGAGTCACTGTGGGTCCTGAGTGTGGTGGAGAGGAAAGGAGAGAGGGGAACACACACGCTAACCTATAAGGGCGACACCAAAAGCAAATAAATTCCAAGAACTATTAAGTATTAGTCAATGCCAAATAGTTTGATTATAGCAAATAAAGAGATGGCACTAGTGGAGACGTGTCAGCCTTGCAGAAGAAAAGGAATGCTCACACAGCACAAAGCAGAGGTGCCACTCACTCCGGCCAGTATCACGTTTGCCACTCCCACTTAAATATCTTACCCCAAATGATCAGGGTGAGGGATCGCACCCTGAGAGTATGTTTGCTACACCGCCTCCTGACATGCAGTCTGTGGGAGATGATCACTTTTACAATTTGTCATGCTTGATATTGTCTGCAACTGTTATCTACTCATTTCCTTAACTTAACCTTTCTCCATCAAATTAAACAAGTGGGGGTAGGGGGCGGTGGGAGCCTCTGACATAATGTCAGTAGTCATCACATTATGAAACTCTGAGATCCTGAAACAGATTGTTTACTTTCAGTAGTATCTGTTTCACAGAAAATTTTGCTGTTCTAAAACGAGAAGCATTTAGGCAACGTGTTAGGATAACCTCATTGTCTTAGGAAAACGTCCAATACTATACCCAAACAGGGAGCAATCAAAGAACTGGTGCACAAATTCTGGACGAAAACACAGCATAGGGGCTGGCACTGTGATGTAACAGGTTAAGCCTCTGCCTGTGGTGCCAACATCCCACACGAGTGCTGGTTCAAGTCCCAGCTGCTGCACTTTGAATCCTACTCCCTGCTATGGCCTGGGAAGGCAGCGGAAGATGGCCCAGGTGCTTGGCCTCTGCACCCAAGTGGGAAACCTGGAAGAAGCTCCTGGTGCCTGGCTTCTGGCTCCTAGCTTTGGATTGGCCCAGCTCCAGCCACTGCAGCCATTTGGGAAGTGAACTAGCAGATGGAAGATCTCTCTCTCTCTGTCTATCCCTCTGTCTGTAACTCTGCCTCTCAAATAAATACATTTATTAAATTAATTTTTTTTTAAATGCAGCATCAAGGGGCCAGTGCCGTGGCTCACTTGGTTAATCCTCTGCCTGTGGCACCAGCATCCCATATGGGTGCCGGGGTCTAGTCCCAGTTGTTCTTCTTCCAGTCCAGCTCTCTGCTGTGGCCCAGGAGGGCAGCGGAGGATGGCCCAAGTGCTTGGGCCCCTGCACCTGCATGGGAGACCAGGAGGAAGCACCTGGTTCCTGGCTTCGGATCGGCGCAGCGCCGGCTGTAGCGGCCATTTGGGGGGTGAACCAACAGAAGGAAGACCTTTCTGTCTCTCTCTCTCACTGTCTATAACTCTACCTGTCAAATAAAAAAATTTTAAAAAAAGCAGCATCAAGAATATCTGAAGAGATCTTTATACTTGTCTTCTGTTGACATCCATTTTTCTGTGACTCATTTCTTCTGTCCTGTGGTTTTACCTGCATTTACACTGTAGCAAAGAGAACTCACCGGGGAAACAGAGGACCTGGGATCTAAACTCTAGATCTAGATCTAGCAGAGTGACTGTCACAGTTTACTTAGATGCTCCGACTTTTGATTCTTACTTATTTGTAAAGACTGAGAGAGTCTCATTTCAGTTCCGTATGTGAGCACGTAAAATAAATTCCAGGATGATGCTCAGCACAGTGGTTATGAGCCCTCTTGGGAGTGCCTGGCTTCAAGTCCCAGTTCTGCTTCCCTTTCCAGCCTTCTGTTAGTGGGCACCCTGGGAGGCAGCAGGTGATGATTCAAGTGCTTGTGTCTGTATCACCTCCATGGGAGACCCAGGGTGAGATCCAGGTTCCTGGCTTCAGCCTGGCCCAACCCTGGCTGCTGTGGGCATCTGGGAAGTAAACAAGAGGTTAAAAGCTTTCTCTCTACCTTTCAAATAAAATGAAAATTTCAAAAAGTTTAAAATAAATTCCCTTTCCTCCTTTTTCTTTTTTTACAACGTCCATCCTGTCTTGTCCTAGTGATTCAGCTGGTCCCGTAGGGATTTCCCATGCTGATGTGTGAAGATTCCCCCACAGCCTGGAGCCCCTTTCCATCCCACATCCTGTCACTGTAGCAGCTCTTGATCCCTAGGTCCCTTCCTCTTTGCCCTATTGCTTCTGACAGTGTCACAGTCTGCTGAGAACAGTTCAGCAATACTTACAACATCCTCAGACTGGAAAGACATGGAATGTGGTGCAACCACAGAATAAAACATGTCAAACACACCCAAGGAGAACTTCAGAACCCTCCTGGCGGAATCCCCACCCACAAAGAACAGATTCTACAAACAACTGCATGAGCAAAACAAATTCCAACAACAGACTGTGTGAGCAAAGAAATCTTCCTGTTCCCCAAACTGGTCCAAATCATCCTCCACAGAAGATCCTGAAAACATTTGTATCAGTAAGACTATAACACGCAGTAATAAGATATGCACATTCCTCTTCCAGGAAGTAGCATTTCTTATTCAGAAGAAACAAGGTGCTTTCGTAGCCACTTAATAGTTCAGTATACTCATTTTGTCTAGGTTTTCCCTTCCTGTAATTAAAAAATATTATCAACAAGAATGTCAACAGCTCTAAAACAACCTCCCAGAAGGACAGATGACTGTGATTAAGTGGCACTGTTTCAAAATTTAACACCAGTTGTTTATACTTGAAGCAATTTACTAAGTGGAGAAATCTCATGGCATAAAGATCTGTTTAATTATGAATGATTAAAATCTTCTAATAGCAATTTTGTTCAAATTCAGAATCATCTTCTGTTTTTCTCACCTGCCAACAGTTACAGAGCTGAGAAAAACTTATTAGAACTTGTAGTAATGAAAATCAGAAAAAAACAGGTAAACATCCACCACAGAAAACTGAAAACTGGTTTCCTATATGGCCTTCCCTGTTGAGTCCAAAAACAGTAATGAGACTTTTATTGCCCTCTTGGGACCCTCATCGCGATGGGCATTAACTGGCGGACCTTACAACATACTGAGTACCAGAGAAACACAATGGAGGCTACACCTTGCCTCACATCTTAAAGAACCTCTAACCTTGCCGAGGCAGAGGCAGCCCGCGGCACAGGAACTGACAATTAACAAAGGAGAAGACAGGACTAATGGGGGAGTGCTCAGAAACTTAGGAAGACATCGGCATGACGCACAGGATTAGTGGGAGGTTTAGCAGGAAGTGGCACAGAAACGAAGCCTTGAACAGTGCCTGAACAGAAAGGAGGCAGCGCTGAAATTACCAGCCTAAGAACACAGAGCAAAGACTAAGCTCTCTCTAGAACGCCTACAAAAATACAGCACTGTACAAATGTAAGATAATAAGTTCTGATAAGCAATGGCCTCATCTGTAACAGTAAAGGGGGAATACTCTGATTTGACAAATATGTA